GCTGCTGCTGCTGCTGATGATGATGATGATGATGATGATGATGATGATGATAATGATGATGATGATAATGATGATGATGATGATGATGAGGATGATGATCTGGAGGAGGAGGATAGTAATGATGACGTTTTAGTTTGTTACTGTTGCTCTCTCCACAGACTGTAATAATACTATAGATACTCAAGTGTGTACTTTCCCCTGTTTGATTGTCTCTGTGTGTGTGTATGTGTACGTGTCTGTGAGTGTATGTGTGTGTGTGTGTATGTATGTGTGTGTGTGTGTGTGTGTGTGTGTGTGTGTGTGTGTGTGTGTGTCCCTATGTGTGTGCGAATGTTTATATATAGCAATGTGTGCGTGTGAGTTTGTTTCTCTGAATAATCAAGTCAATAGATCTGACATCACTAACACTTCCCACCCCCTCTCCCGCTTAACCCCCTCCCTATCTCACGTTTCTGGTTCCTTCCGTAACACACCTTGTTTTTAATTCTTTGAATCCGGCTTGCCACTTATATGACGTTTCTGGGGTACTGATTTCATCAAACGGAAATTCCACATCTGGTCCTGTGCTACATTACTACCTATTTTCTCGTGATCATTTGTCCAACTGTGAGGTGTGTTGATAAAATGAGTTACTTATCGGATTTTAGCCTTTTGGAAATTGATACATAAACTTTATTGGTGGAGTTTGTACAACTTGTATGTCCGGAAAAATAAAAGACATGGTAGACTGGAACAAAATAGGATTTATTGAAATCGTATAAATCTGACCCTCGAGTTGGTTTTCGGCCGATATCTCCATTCTTCGATTGCAAGAAGTAACTCATTTTGTCAACACACATTACAAAAAAGAATAGTTTCCATGCTCACACAAACAAATCCATCAATATGTAACTGAAGTATAACCGTTCTTAAGTAACACCCTTCACCTCTGGGTACCGGGTACTGAAAATTGTGGAATCCCTTGCATACCGAAATACTTAAAACAGCTTACTTTCTCTTTTAAAAAACCAAAACCAACAACTTTTTTCTCTTTGTTTGACCCCTTCCAGACACACCTGTGATGCGCTGTGACACCTCCATCACTCTAGTATGGCACAAGGTGTACCTAGTGGTCAGCACCATGCTCTTCTTCATCCTTCCCTTGGTGGTCATCTTTTTGCTCTACACCAAGGTAAGAAATTCTTTCTCATTGTATTTTCACAACCGCTCCAACTAGACGAACGTGTGGACTAGGACCAATCTAGAGCCGGCCTTGAGGGCGGAGGATTGGAGGGGGGGGGGGTGCTCGACTCGTGGCCTAGAAGTTAAGGTGTACGCCTCTCTCATTCAGAGGTCCCGGGTTCGAATTCGGGCCGTGACGGGAAAAACTTTCTTCTCTAACTTTGTCTCCTTTCACTTCCTTTCCTACTCTCTAGCAATGATCTGTTGTCTGCTTTCGTCTTCACTTTCTTCCCCCACCCACTCCATCTCCTTTGCCCCCTCCACTGGGCTCCTGGCTCTTTCTGCAGCCTTTCTACTGCTTTTCATAGGCTCCTTCTTACTGCTGTCTTTCAGCCACACCCCTGATCTTGTGGTAGGTAAGATCCACACTTAACTTTCTATGAGCAAAGGCGAACAATCTCAGAGGTCCTGTGCGCACGTTGCGCACGTTAAAGATCCCTTGGAGGTCTAAAATCGATAAGAGTAGGCTTCGGCCTCCACCCGGACAAAATTCAAAATTTTCTAGCTACTGAAAATGTTTAATGTGTCCCGCGTCCTCATATGACCTTATGTAGTTGCGAGCGCAGTAAAACACTTACTCCCCCAAAAAAAGAAAAGAAGAAGAAAGAAGGAAAGCGCAAAAGGATGCGCGTACAGAAATAAAGAAATAAATAAGGGAGGATTTTTTTAGTTTAAAGGGATGATGTAATGCAAAAAAAGGAAAAAAGGGAAGAAGGATGGTTGAGAGAAGGTAAGGAAGATACAAAGGCAGCAAGAAGGAAAGAGAGAAATGAACTGAAAGAAAACAATGAAGAAAGTAATAAAATAAAGAAGGACAGACACAAGTAAAGGAGAAAATAAAAAGGGAAAGAAAGAAAAATAGAAAGGAAAAAAAGGAATGAACAAAGAAAGAAAGGAAGAAAGAAATGAACAAAGAAAGAAAGGAAGAAAAGAAGAAACAAACAAACAAACAAACAAACAATGGCGCTCATATGACCTTATGCAATTACGAGCGACGTAAAACTTCTACTAAAAAACAAACAAGCAAACAAAGAGAGAAAGAAAGAAATAACCAAAGGAGCGAAAGAAGAATGGAAGAAAGGTTGTTAAAGAAAGAAGAAAACGGAAAAGTAAAAAAGAATTAAAGAACAGGAAAAGAAGAAAACAAAGGCTAAAGAAGGTAAAAATGAGTAAAAGACGGGAAAAGGACGGAAAGATGCAAGGAATACAAAATGAAGAATGAATGATAAAAGACCCAGAAAAGAACGAAATGGGAAGAGAAAAAGAAATGAAAAAGTACATAAGGTTTGGTAGAGAGTCGAAATGGAGGAGAGGAGGAGAGAAGGGGGAAAAAGGAAAAAAGAAAGATGGACAAAAAGAAAGCAAGGAAGGAGTAGAAAGGAAGAAAGAAGGAAGAAGGTAAAGAAGCAACCAAGGATGAACAGAAACAGGAGGAAAGGGAAGAGTAGAACTGAAGAAAGAAGAAAGGAAAGAGGAATGGAAAACTTAAGGAAAAAATGCTCGAAGAAGAAAGAAAGAAATAGAAGGAACAGGGACGGAATAAGGAAGGATAAGTGAAAGGAGAGGGAAGAAAGGAAGGAAGGAAGAACGAAGGAACGAAAGACAGAGAAAAGGAACAAAGTGCTCTTGAAAAAAAAAAAAGAGAACATGAAAGACAGAGTGCCGTGCTGTTTGGAAATGACTCCGTAAATCCTCAATGAACCGACAGTTTGCCATCTTGGAGTAGGCCCTAACATCCCATGCTAGTTTACGACACAGTACTAGGAGCACGGGTTGTTTTTTTAAAAGTAGGTAACGGTAAACTTCAAATCTCCATTTGGAACTCACATGCCAAACTACAGAAATGTGAAGCCAAAATTTGCGTGTCGCTATGACGTAAAGGATATTTTTACAAGAGAGAGAGAGAGAGAGAGAGAGAGAGAAAGAGAGAGAGAAAGAGAGAGAGAGAGAGAAAGAGAAAGAGAGAGAGAAAGAGAGAGAGAGAGAGAAAGAGAAAGAGAAAGAGAGAGAGAGAAAGAGAGACAGACATAGAGTGAGAGAGAGAGAAAGAGAGAGAGAGAAAGGGAGAGAGAAAGAGAGACAGACAGAGAGACACAGTGAGAGAGAGTGAGAGATAGAGATAGATAGATAGATAGATAGATAGATAGATAGATAGAGAGAGAGAGAGAGAGAGAGAGAGAGAGAGAG